TTTTAGTTAAAATATGTTTCAAAATAATTGTTATTTTTTAAAAAAAATTAAAAAAAGCAAGCAAATATTTTTTTATTAAATGATTATTTTTTAGTTTTAATTATTTATTTTATTATATAAAAATCTCTTTATTTTTATTCTTTAAAAACATAAATACAATAAAAAATTATTCTCAAAATTTTAATTTTAAAATAAAAACAATTCTAGCAATTATTGTTAGAGACAAAAGGAGTCATCTTTAAAAACAACTGATAAAATCAGAACTACCTTAATAATTAAAGCGGGATCCAGACTTATGTTTTGAAACTACTCAGTGTTTTTGTTGCCATTGACGAGGGACTTGAAGGCAATAAACGTTAAGTGTTCATAACATATTCGCCGAAAATTCGGGCATTTGGCATTGCTTGTTCGGGCGCTGATGATTTTGGTGGGGTTTAAAGTCAATTGTCATCCCTCTACTTTCATATTTTATTTGTTCTTGTCCCTCTACTAAGGATTTGTTCGTTGTCATCCCTCTACTCTAGGGTTGGGCATGGTACGGTATAGTAACCGTACCGCACTTAAATGATGGTAACTGTTTTAAGTGGTAATGAAAAAGAATTACCACTTCCATACAATTGATGATTTTTTGGTAATGGCTGCCAACCGTTTTTAATGGTAATGAAACTTATTTTATCAATACCATACCATATTACCATCTTTAAACTTATTTTCTTCATTATCAATTAATTTAAGTAATTCAAAATTCAATCTTAAAAGCTCAAAATTATCTTAAAAACTTATTTTTTCCATATTGTTCTTCATCATCTTGAAGCATACAAATATATAATTATACAAAACATGCACACATAAAAAAAAAAAAGAACACTAGCAACAATTGAAAACTTTGTAGAATAAAAAAAAAGAGGAAAAAGTTTTGAATGAGTGGTAAATTTGGTAATCATAGGGTAAAAATGGTAATGACCTCCAATATTAATACTGTACCACATGTTTAAATGATATTATCATATTACCATTTAGACTTACCATATGGTAATTTACCATACCGTTTCCGTTCGTAATGGAATGGTACAATAATAATTGTGGCATTTATAGTATAGTGTCCAGCCCTACTCTACTCTAATAAAGAGCCAAACGTCGTCTCTCTACTCTCTTTTTTGGTTCATTGTCGTCCCTTCCCTTCCCTGACACCGTTCATGTTGCCGTCATTGCTGACAGTTAAATCCTAAACGATCAGCCGTTAAACCGTTCTATTTTTTTCACATTTGCTGCCACCTGTGCAACAATGGAGACCACTTTGTCCACTTTGCCTCCCTGTTTACTCAGACCCCATACTTCCATTTTTTTTTTTTTGTTGCAAAGATGAGTTTTCGCAGATCTGGACGATTGCTCACCTGAGAATGTTAAGACTGAGGGTCCGACAGCAACAGCCCCGGCAGTTGTGATGTTGGCGGTGGAAGAGGGCGATGAGGAGGTGGTAGCAGTGGTGGCGTTGAAACATTTCTGGCACATATTATTGGTAGCGAGATTACCGGTGAGACCGCAGTTGTTGATGCAGAGACTCAAGGTTTCCGGCACCTTGAACTCGGTCTCTTCTTTCTCGGTTCTCTGAGCCATGTCTCTCTGATTCGCGAGTTGCAAAATGGAGGCGTTGTGATGGGATTTTGTTAATTCGGAGAGAGAGAGAGGGAGGGGATGGGGTTTTGGTTGGGTTGTTTTTGGCAAGGGCAACAATGGCAAACAAAAATGTGGAGAATAGGGTTGTAATTGCCAGCATGCGATAGTGATTGTCAAGATGACTTTTGCTAATGTCATTGCCACTGCCAACCCAGTTGCTTGGAGAAGCTACTGTGAGTATCATACTGAGGAAGGTCCCTACAGTATCCATAATTTCGCACACTGCTTGTACCTATAAGTCATTGTCTATATGGTCATGGAGAAATTCTTCTAACCCTTTTTCCAGTATTCCTTTCATCATTCCCCACAGAAGAAACTGGGGCAGAAGCCATAACATGCTGGCATAATTATAATTGGAATCCAATCTGTGAGCAACAAGAGAAGCTACTATGCAACACAAAGAGGAAAAAAGCATACCAATGCTGATTCTGAGGACCCTCGCCCACTGTTGTTTTTTTCTACCATGGTATTGTTCGATTAGACAATGGCACACCTGCTCGGTTATTTTGTAGACAAGCTCCAGAAAAAAATGAAAACGGATTTAGGAATCTTGAAGCTCTGGGTATTGTTCTCTAGATAATCAACTTGTTCCATGAAGAAAGACTCAGCTATTGCATTAACCAGATAACATGTAGATGCGAATGTTTGCCGTAAAGGTAATAGTTTGAGAACCACTTTTGCTGCTTTCTTTACCTCTAGAAATAAGGCAACTGGAATTTGCTTTCCACATTTCCATCAATTTTCTCTTCACCCTTTTATCTTTTTTATCTTTTTCTCCGTTTCACCAGTTTTGTTTTCATCCGCTATATCATTTTCCATTTCACCAAGGTCGTAACATTGAGCCCCCATCTAGAAGAACAATTTATAACTGATCACCGTCAATGCTGTTGAAATCTTGATGAAAACTTCGGTAGAAAACACTGCTGCAAGCACTGTACCCAAGATTGTCCTTGGAAGTTTAGCAACAAATAACTTTTTTCTTATACGATTGCTCATTTTTCTCGTATTTTCTTGCTATAGCTATATTGACACAGAATCCATCTCTTCCTCTGTAGTCTTGTGGACCCTTCTTCACCGGCTTTTGTTTCCGATCTTTTACTGATGAGTTTCCGCTGTTCTCTTTCTCTGTGCAACTTGACTCCAGACAGCAACATGTGCGTAATGCTTCTTGGGCTCCCTCTTTCAGTATCGGACACACATGTGGTCTCCAATTGTATTGTTCCCCCAAAAAAAGGCTTACACAACTTTCTCTTGCAGTTGCAGCTAGTGCTATGCACCCAATTAACTGATTGTCCGGATGACAATATGTACATCTTGGTTTGGTTCCGCAAATTTGTTTTGAACATGGAGATGGAGGTGGTGTTGGATCCACTTCTGGCCTTCACCATGACTTTTGCTCGGCCTTTTTAAGCTCATTACCGTAAACATAACTAGTAGATTTTTCTCTTGCATAACCTGCTCTCAGCGTTAATAGTTGTAAACCAAGAAGAGACCGACAGGAGCTTCCTTGGATGGACTAAACCACAATAGCTGAGAACCCTGCAATAAGAATTGACAATCAATTTCCCATTAAAAAAAAAAGAAGAAGAATTAACAATAAATTAATTATCGGATTTCTTTAATATTAGTAATTTGTTACTTTTTGTTCAATTTTGAGGGTGCTTCATATTTGAGATCTACATTTGTACCAAAAAAAATACTACTTCTTTAGTTTTAAAATATGAAAATGAAAAAAAATTAAGGCATTTTGATATTAAAAATATCAAAATATTTAGTTATAACCATTGAGGTATAGTGTAAAATTTAATTTTATCAAATTTATTACATAATTATTATTTTTCTTTTTCCTTTAAATTTAAAAGGCTCTGGTGGATCACTTTCTTGAAACAAAAAATGAAAGTATGGCATCTCTGCAACAAAAAATAAAATGAAAGTATGGGGTCTGAGTAAGCAGGGAGGGTCCCCATTGTTGCACAAGTGGCAGCACATGTGAAAAAAATATAGAATAAATGGGTTTAATTGCTGACCGTTTAGGACTTAACGGTCAGCAGTGACGGCAACTTGAACGATGTCAAGGAAGGGATGACAATGAACCAAAAAAGAGGAGTAGAGGGACGACGTTTGGCTCTTTAGTAGAGTAGAGGGAGACAAGGAACAAATCCTTAGTAGAGGGACAAGAACGAATAAAGTATGAAAGTAGAGGGACGTCAGTTGGCTTTAAACCTTTTGGTGGAGGATGAAAGAAAAACACTACATAAAAAAATAAAAGAGATTTTTTTTATTCTGATCATGAAAGGGACAGAATGGTTCCTGTAACTGCAAATTTTTACTTGTCAGTTTCGGGTAGCTTTTAACATCCAATTTATAAGACGTGCAAACTAGGATAAGAATTAAACTATTTGGGAGAAAAACAAAATGAGTTGGAAATTAATGGTGGAAGTACCATGTATGAGAAAAACATATGCGCAATCCGCTGGTGTGGATAAAAAAATTGAAAAGTTACATTTTTTTTATTTTAAAATAAATATTATTTTTAATTTTTTTAAAAATTAAAGATTTAAAAATAATATTTATATTAATTTATAATATTTTTAAAAAATAAAAAATAAAGATAATTTTTATAATTAATTAATTAATTAAAATAAATAATA